TAGTTAAACAGAGTTATTAGAGTAATGTCTTTCAGATGAAGACAAACGGAGATTCGAATAGGTTATAAATGATAACGACTGACTAGAATCAGACAGTGAGAAGACGTAATTGATCTGAAAAATGTGATGTATTTGCGCTATACATTTCGAACAATCTGGTCACACATTAATAAGCTTACTCTCTATAGGAGATATATGGATGATATTTTAATTATATGTGATAAAGAACTTAACGTCTCCCAGTTATTGGAAAACTTCAATAGTCTTCAGAATGATATTGTACTAACTCATGAACCAGAAAATAATAATCGGTTGCCTTTCTTAGACATATTGTTGAGCCGAAGAGATAATGGAACTATAAAGCGGTCTGTTTATAGAAAGCCGACGTGGACTGGACAGTACCTAAATTTCAACAGTTTTTGTCCACTGCAACACAAGCGAGGTTTAGTAAAATGCCTCTTCAATAGGGCACAAAGGATTTGCACCACGGATACATTTGACGACGATGCGAAATTCTTAACTGAAGCATTGATTTCAAATGGCTATCCGCTAAAGTTTATCAATAGGTGTAGAGATCGGTTAAGACAAAAGCAAGTGTTTGATTCTGCTGAAAAGAAAAAGGTTTATATCACTTTACCATTTAGAGGTGAAGCAAATGGTCTAATAATAAGACAGAGACTAAAAGCAGCCATAGAGAAAACATACAACGCTGCTAAACTGATTATCATTGAAAAGACCAAGTCCATGATTTCTCATATACCTAAACGTTGCTCTAATGATTACATCACATCCCATTGTATTTATCAATTTACATGTTTGTGTGGACACACATACATAGGGAGGAGTAATCGGACTTTGCAATCAAGGGTTGTGGAACATGTACCTAAGTGGCTTCAAAATCAGTTAACGTCAGATGAGCCGATTAACGTTGGAAATAGAAAACCATGTTCATCGATCGCCAAACACATAATTGAGACAGGGCATAAGATTGACATCAAGACAGCCTTCAAAACATTGTATAGAAATGTTGAAGGACGAATTTTGAGGTTTATGGAGGCCTTGGCTATTAGAAAATTAAAACCCCCTTTATGTGTGCAGAAACAATTTGTCATAACCTTGAATTTACCTTGGTAATCTTTAAGCCTAGGGTAATGTGACAATTTTCCTACCCCTTCTTATTCTTTTCATATTACATTAATTTTCTCTCTCCTTTATTTACAATTATAACCTTGTCTGTCTATTTGAACTTTTATTTAATTGACCTTTTATTCATCTTCATATAAAATGCCTTGACAAGTAAATATGTGTGACCAGATTGTTCGAAATGTATAGCGCAAATACATCACATTTTTCAGATCAATTACGTCTTCTCACTGTTCTATCAAAATTTATAAAAGGGACTAATTGTTTTAGAATCAGAAAGTCGAGTAGCTAGACGCCCATCCGTTGGACACTATCAAAAAGCTGGAATCGCATCGAAAGAACAATAATGAAACGCAGAGAAATCAGTTTGTTTATATCAGCTCGTCATACAGATATTGGGTATTGGATCATTTGTTTATTTTAATTACGGTGAAGGGTTAGAGCGATTTTTCTAATGAAAGCGTCTACTGGATTAGGACTCAATCAGATTTGTATCATGAAATCGGAGGTACACATTTGTATAGGTTACGAACTGCAAACGGGCCGAAACATGTCTCTCATCTGAAATCATTTTAAATACATAATAAAGAAGCATTATAATGAACCATTTAAAATAGGAAAACGGCAATTAATTTGCACAGTTGAATTATCTTATCTTCAACATTATGCTTTCCAAAGATTTCTGGTGAATTGTAGTGAGAAAGAAACTTGGTTAATGATCAGTTATGAACAAACAGGCACAACCTAGCCACTGTTACATGCAAGATTTCATTTCTCTAACTGCGCGAGCACCAAAATCATTGATATTATAAATCCGATCAGCCATTTTGTCTCTGTGTATAATACAGTGGAGAAAAGGCATTTACGTTTCGCTGTATACGAATGTCGATCGACAACACCTGGAAAGAATAAATTATTTCCTTTTTAAAATGTTATTATTCTGTATTAGAATATTTCTGACTGGAATAGTGATCAGTAAATTTTGATCAAATTACTAATTTACACTGGCAAATATGTCATATCTCGAAAAGCTCGGAATCAATCTGTATTCGCTTGTTGACATTTAAGGACAAATGTATTATTAATGTTAGTTTTATCTTTGTAAGACAAATGAAATTATGTATGCATGTATTTGACAAATAACTATGTGAAATATATAATGTTTTAGGTTGTGGTTAGAGAGTATGATTATTTATAAATCAGCCACAAACAGTGCCACGTATTTTACATTTAGACAGTGAAAGAAACCGTTGGATAACCAAGTCTTCAGTATAAAACAACTGAAGTTTCTGCGAATATCGGTAGTGAATTCTGACAATTTGATTTGTTCACCATATCCATTTCTCGTGAGAACTCTTTTCTCATAAATTCGCAAGGAGTACCTATTATGTTATTTAGTGGCTCTCATCATACATTCAGTAATGAGTGATTTTACATTAGGTTTTTATGCTTGATAGTAATTTGTAGTCTTAAGTGAATGATCTAAGCTGGGCAAATAGCAGTTCAACGGTTTTACCATTTGCTTTTCAAAGAGAAGGAAACTGAGTGACCTGAAAAATGAAAAACATTTCGAATCCTAAACGATGAACCATGACTGAATTACTGGAGATGCGAACCTAAATAGTGCCTATCTATCTGTGAAGAACGTCATGCAAGGCATCGAAATCCTGAATGAATAAACTTGCATTTCCCGTTGTGTATGATGAGAATTGCTGCTGGTGGGGCTGCATTATTTGCATTAGTGTTTGCATCATCTGCTAAGCCGCGATAGACCAACTGCATCCTGACTGTTCACTAAATACTGTGTTTCCCTCTGGATGATGATTTCTTCACAATCCAGTCGATAACCGTTAGGCGATAGAAGGCAAACTTACTTGAGACTAGAAGGCACGCTATAGTGTTAAAAACACTCCAGAGTATTTTTGATGTAGTGGATAGAGACGATGTGTAGCAGTTTATTCATTTCAATTGATTGTTCCACAATGATCCCTTATGTTGCGATTTGGCCGGTCCAAGATCAGTCCTTACAGAATTTAGCCTGTTGATCTCGAAGTTGAGCGTCCACAAAGTCCTTCACTGTGTTTTACAATAAACTGTTGAACATTTTGTCTTGTATTGAGAGAAAAGTGATGCATCTAAGATCGCTGAGATAACAATGATTTGTTACTTTGACCAGAAAAATATTTGGAATCGAAAATGAAGAAACGTTATTGAATTATTGTAGATTAGAACTTGAACACTGTAGTGCCTTCATGAAATAGATGATGTGAATGTTTATGAATTCAGCCAAATGGCAGTGAACTTCAATTGGTAAATACGTTCATTCCCTCACTTCACAATCTTAAGGATTTTGTAAAAATTAATTGAATTCATTGTATGACAAACCTTAGATTTTTCTTAAATTTGGTAACCTGAGTATTCGTCAGTATAATAGAACATCGCTCAACATATATAATGTAAGTAAGTATGTGTCCGACATTCAGGTCGATGAAAATCAACTGAAATGTTAAATATAGGCTGATTATATAGCATATCTTTGTTGTGATATAATACAAGGAAACAACTTCATTGCAGACATGCATTATGAACTAGTTGAATGAAAACTATTTTGACTACAGAGTATTGATCATAAAAATTCTGCCTGGTTCCTCCCTTCAGCTACTGCCGTTCCTAAGCCTGAATGAAGTTGGATGAAGGTCAATAAACGCAGGCTGACCAGAAAACACAGCTCAATAAATTTCAACTCTGCTTTGATGGTCAGAATGTCTTCTTCAAGAAGAAATCTGATGTCTCATGATTAAAGCTGAATTCCGTCGGATGTCATGAGGGCGATGCTCCTTCTGACAGCCATGGTAACCATTCTTTCAGGTACATGGAATGTTTGAAAATTGTGAGAGGCCAGGAGACTGTTTCAAGTTGCTGCAGAAATCAAAGGATGCAACCAAGAGGTACTCGAGAGCAGGTAGGACAACTGAGACTATCTTCAGGGTAATTGCTGTTATATTCCGGTCATGAAGAAGAAACTTCTTCAACTACCCAATGAGTCTTGCACTGATGCCCTCCAAACAAGTATGAAGGATACTAATAGGATGGCAATCTGGTGGACCCAGAATCACTCAAGCACCCCACACAAACCTCACATGAATATCACTGAATCACACTATTCCGAACCAAATCGACCTTGTATGCATCGATAAAAAATTTTTAGGAACAGTGGAGGATGTAAGAAGCAAGAGAGGTTCTAATTTAGCCTCAGATCACTACTTGCTGGATACTATAACGAAACTGAAACTCAAGAAACACTGGAAAACGAGTGGCGGAAAACATCGGTAAAAGGTTATCATGACTTTTCTTCGGGGCACCGGTAAACTCAACGACCTCAAGATATCCCTCAGCAATAAGCCTTATGCTAACTAATCAGTGTAGTGGAAACTGTTCTGCAGAATTAATGGAAAGGGATCAAGCAGGCAATCATTTCAACATGTCAGGGGGTTCTAGGACAAATGAGCTACTATCACAAGGAATAGATTTCTGTTGGTACTGTTAAAAAAATTGAAGAAAGAGGAGGCAAGAAGAAAGCAATATACATCGGTTGAACAAGATTGAAAAATGCTAAGACACAAGCCACATACACAGACGCAAACACGCAAGCTGAACTTTTTCTCATACAACCAAGAATTATGTTTTTGAAGCGTTGAATTACATTAGGATTAGAAATATTAAATATTTTCATGTTATCTTGTTCGAACTTTGATTTGATATTAAAAAAATTTATTGTTGGCTATAGTTTTTTTAATGTTCCTTGATCAGATAAAATAACATAAGTTTGATAAATAATTTTAGTTCAGCTGAACATTTTCGACAATCAGCATTTGTGAATGCGAATAATGTTGCTTGAAGATCTAAATAAAGGTTTGTGCTAATAAACCGATACATTTTTCATGAATATGATGATGAATAAGCATATTTCGCTAGTTGAGTTGCTGAATTTAATCGCTTTGCTTCACATGAATGGGTTTTTTATTTGTGTAATTCTTCCATAGTATTATTATCAGTTTGTTATTACGGAAAAAATGAATTATGTGACTGGCATTGGTACATTTCATAGGGTTTTTACACAAAAAGCTACTCTCAAATCGTTAGCGCTAGGGATTTTGTTTTCATATGGTGTCTAGATCCATAGTAAGCAACACCTGGAATTAAAACTCATCAAGACGGTTTAATTTATCAATAATTATTCGCGCGTTGTTATTCGTATGTTACGCTGGTAGCGTAGAATATTATGATACTGTAATATTTTCAATAGTTATATAATGTACCGTCACGTCACATGTTTTAAATGGTCAGTCGGTTCAAATTATGAAGTAACATTCGCTGAGATTTCCTGATAACCAGCATTGATCAAGTCACTGTTTCGATTGAAAAATATTTGAATAAGTATTCATGAGTGCTGATTCATACTTGTACATACTTTTACTTTTTAACCAAATAATGTTTACTTTTTCACACAATATTCTGTACAAGGATTACAGGTTCACGACAAAGAAATGAAATTGAAACATAAATACAAAATGATGAGTACATATTTCAAGTCAGTTAGGCTGAATATTTCAGACCGCACACAATTTATAGTGAAAGTAAGCACAGTTGATATTGTTTATTTTACAATCAAGGTGTTTTCAACCAATATTTTTCAAATCTGTTTATCAATGTTGATGACTGCATTAGTTTTTACTAGGTATGTCCATTGTTCAGTAACTGAAACATTTAATTAAACTGATTATAGTGATTCAGTGCATAAACGTTTGTTAGAGGAATATTGGGTTGTCATCATTTTAGGGTAAGTAAAATTGTTTTGTATGAATAAAGCGCTTGTGTTTTGTTTTAAAATACAATCCATAATTTGAGAAACTGTTATTTCATTTGGATCGTCGTAAATTTGTTTAGTGAATACAGAAAATCAATATTCCCTATTTTGAATAGTCGTTTTCTGTTTGTGTAGTAGACAATAAAAATGCGTTATCAGTACATTAAGTTTAGATTGAACATTTTTCACGTGTGCTTTTTTGTTCAAATTAATGTGTTGTTCATAAACGAAGTGTACTTATTAGTTCATTTTGAATACCAGTTATAATTGCATGAGATTGATGATTTATTAGCGAGTATATTGTATGTAGCCTTTCGAATAACAAAGACAATATGATGTGTACAGATTTTAAGTCAGTTAGGTTGAATAACTGGAGACGCAGTCAATTTATAGTGAAAGTAAATGTTGTTGAGATTGTTTTTGTTTTTCAAAAAAGTGAGTTAAATTGATATTATTCTATTATATTTATCACTGCCGATGATTGCATAAGTCTTGCCTACACGTATGTAGTACATATATATTCTTTGTAGTGATGAACATAAAGTGAGTTCAATTCAAAGACAATGTGAAGGAATAAATTTTATCAAGGGTTACTTAGCTTCGTTACATATCATGTTGTTAGTGATGATCTTGAAATTCCCGGGAAACCCATGCCAATTAGGTCATTTTTAATTCTTCGAATATGTTTTCCAAGCTTTATTTAGCGTTTTGCTATTGTAGTCGGTTCGATTCTGTGCATTTTCATTGCAGTGTTGTTTCGACGGTTGCATTAATTGTAGCATTCGTTGTTCAGCGATTTCCAAATTTGCGATTCCTCACAGATTTATTCTACATACTCTTCGTAAGTGGTGTTTGATAATAATGAATGAATGCGTTTACATACTTTTAATGAAAACAATTAACAGCTGATTTTGTAT